AGAGGGCCACAAAGATGGTGAAGGGCCTGGAGCGTCTCTCCTATGAGGAAAGGCTGAGTGATCTGGGTCTATTTAGCCTTGAGAAGAGAAGACTGAGAGGGGACCTGATCCAGGTCTATCAATATCTGAGGTGTGGGGGGCAGAGTGGCGAGGCCAGATTGTTTTCAGCAGTGTGCAGAGACAGGACAAGGGGAAATGGCCAGAAGCTGGAGCATAGGAAGTTCCGCACCAATGTGCGCAAGAACTTCTTTAGGTGAGGTGACGGAGCACTGGAACAGGCTGCCCAGGGAGGTGGTGGAGTCTCCTTCTCTGGAGATGTTCCAGACCTGCCTGGACGCCTACCTGTGCGACCTGGTGTAGGGATCCTGCTTTGGCAGGGGGTTGGACTCGGTGATCTCTGGAGGTCCCTTCCAACGCCTACGATTCTGTGATTCTGTGCAGCCCATTGCAGCACCTGACCACCCTTTCAGACAAGCAGTATTTCCTAATGTCCAGCCTGAACCATCCCTGGTGCAGCTGGAAGCCATTCCCTCCACTCCTCTCACTGTCACACGAGAGAAGAGGCTGACCCTCAGCTCACCACAACCTCCCTTCAGGTGGTTACAGACAGCAATAAGGTCTGCCCTGAGCCTCCTCTCCTCCGCACTGAACAACCCCAGCTCCCTCAGCTGCTCCTCATAGGACCCCATTGTGCTCCAGTCCCCTCACCAGCTTAGTTGCCCTTCTTTCTTACAGCGAGGGGCCCAAAACTGGACAACAGCACTTGAGGTGCAGCCTCACCAGTGCTGAGTACAGGGGGACGATTATTTCCCTGTTCCTGCTGGTCACGCTATTTCTGATACCAGCCAGGATGCCATTGGTCTTCTTGGCCACCTGGGCACATTGCTGGCTCGTGTTCAGCCCAGCATCAATCAACACCCCCAGCTCCATTTCCTCTACAGTCTTCCAGCCACTCTGCCCCAAGCCTGTAGCGCTGCCTGGGGTTGCTGTGGCCAAATTGCAGGACCCGGCACTTGGCCTTGTTGAATCTCATCCCAGTGGCTTCAGCCCAGCTCTCCAGCCTGTCCAGATCCCTCTGCAGGGCCTCGCTACCCCCAGGCAGATCGACGCTTCCAGCCAGCTTGGTGTATCTGCAAACGTACTGAGGGTGCACCCAGTGCCCTCATCCAGCTCATCAACAACGATATTAAACAGGACGGGACCCAGCACCGACCCCAGGGGAACTCCACTCCTAACCGGTCACCAGCTGGGTTTAACTCCATTCACCACCATCAGTTCCTTACCCAGCCAAGTTGCACCCGTCCAAGCCACGGGCTGCCAGCTTCTGCAGGAGAATGCTGTGGGACACAGTGTCAAAGGCTTTGCTGGAGTCTAGGTAGATTATAAGAGGGGGAAATGGGGCAAAAATAAGGACCTCAATGGGATCAGGGGATGGAGACACGGGATGGGGCCAAGGGATGAGGAGAGGGACGGGGATGGGGGTCATGGGACACAGCCCCATAGGGCAAGGGGACAAGGACGGGGCTGGGGACAGGGACAGGAGAGCTGGGGCACAGGCGGCCCTAAATCAGAGCTTTCTCTGATTGCTCATAAACTCTGCATTCCCAGCAGGGTTGGGGGGTGGGGACGCACCATAAATCCCCCCCGAACTCCTTTTAGGTCAAATTCATGGGCTTTCAGCTGCCGGCAGCAAGAGCCGCGCTCAGGTCGGTGTGGTTGGGGGGATTTATGGGGCGGGGGGCGTTTGTGGGGTGGGGGCTTTATGGGGCTGCTCTACTCCATGGTGCAGCTTGGTGTCACGCCCCACTCGTTTCACACTCCCACTCGTGTCACCCCCTACTGGTGTCACAGCCCCGCCGTGTCACATCCCCCGTGACAGCCCCGTTGTCCCCCCACCCGTGGGTAACGCTGCCATCCCCGTCGGAACCCCCCTCCCCATTCCGCCCGCTTTGTAGGATCCGGTGCCGCGGGGGCCGCTGGGAGTTGTAGTTCCGCCGGGACCACGTGACGGAGCGGAAGTGGGCGGTGGGACTTCATTTCCCATCGTGCCCCGCGGCGCAGCGCGATTGCCGCGAAGGGTGGTGAGGGCACCCAGTGCGGTGGGTTGGGGGTGGGTCCTATATGGGGGGGGAGGGGGGCTAAGGGGGCGGTGTGGGGGTGGAT